TGTTGCCTATGTCATAAACCAACAAATACTAGTTTACCTTTTGGGACGAATACATGGAATACTTCAAATTGGAACAATATCAGAAAACATAGGATACATTGTCTGTACTTTTAGATAACACATATTTTTCACATTCCATACAAATACAAAACATGATAGAACAACTAGTTCTTGAATGTCCACATTTTTAAGTTCAAAAATTCACTCATGGTATTTTGCATATCGATTTACATACACACATCTGTAAAGCATTTGCACAACTTTTGTTTGTGATTTTAAATTAACAAACAAAATATGGAATTCCTAGGAGTCTTACATCTAGATATTTCTAATTTGGCTTCGATTAGGCATTTCATTCCAGAAAAACTAGAGTCCTGTGTGATGCATCAGCCTGGCAGAATGCTCTAAAAATGCAGGGAGAGTACTTAGCATTGATATCCATTCCCAACTTTGAAATTTTAATCATTTGGTTTAAGCACAAGTTCTCTTATTTTTTAATGTCTCCCCTTCTTGAAATTTGTAAATGGTTCACTCAATCATCTTTAATAGCCTGAAATAATTGAGAAAGAAAAGCCTATATCTCCCCAGCTGCTACCTCTCACCCTCGACCACACACACTCACACTCACACACACACACACACACACACACACACACACATACACACATGCACATACAAACCAATTAAGATGCACAACACAGGAATAAGTCAAGACAGAAAGGTTAAGAAATGCACTATTGATCAAAAGTCAGAATTTTTTAGCTGAGAAGAGATTTTCAGAATGTGACAGAAGACTCTAAAAATAGGAAATTTATTTCACAAGCTAAACTGTGGCATAGGCCCACATTACATGGCATTCTCGGAGCACACTCATAAAGTTAATGGAAAAGTTTTGAATTGCCACCCAAGAAGTGAGACCATAGGCCTCAAGGCTGAGCAGTGGGATCCACTGATTTGAAAACATGGTGGAAATTCTCCTGCTATCCACAGTACATTCTCCTTTAAGCATTCTGGAAAAGACTACAATACTGTCTTCTCTATTGCTTCAACATGTAAAATATATTTCTTTAAACAGAGAAGCTGGAGGCTGGCTTTATGGATACAGCAGTGTTTGTTGTTTAAGGAAAAAGCCCTGTTGAGTTCAAAGAGAAGCGGAGACAGAAAAAACAGGAGGGGGTCAGCAAAGGAAAGGGAAGATAACATCTTTCTATTCTTTCTAATGCATTATTCTCCCTTGAGGGAGATAGATATAGATATTTTTTCCTCTAAAAATCAGATTTTTCTTCACTTTGGCAGGAGATAGAATTGGTTTGTGAACACTTTGTGCTGTAAAACTTTGCCTGGAGCTGAGTTTCTGTAGTACAGAAGGTTTGTGTCAAATCCAGATACAAAGAGAATAAAAAAAGAAGAAGAAACCATGTATTCAGTACTGATGATAAAACAAAAATATTCTCCGATTTGAATGGGGCCTCAGATAAATGGTTAAAATATAAAACTAGTATATCCCTTCCAAACTGGCGGTCTTATAGGATTTTGATAAATACACAAGCACCCACATCCAAACAGTGCATTCGTTCCGTAGAACACGCTAACCAATATTCTATTCTTCAGTTAAGCTGCTCTGACAGGCTTCTCCAAATGCACCTTTAAAAATATTGATAGTTTTAACTATCTAGTGCTCTCTTACATTAAATATTTTCCTTTCTTTCCCCAGTTAGAGTAACCAAAATAATCTCTAAATCAAGATTAAAAAGTGATAACGTATGTTTAAGAGACATTTTCCAAAAAGAAGAAATCTTAGTCTTATTTTAGTAAGATGGAAATAATAGCAGATCACATTTTAACCATCATCTCATTTGCTCCTTACAATGAGCATGTAAGCTAGGGAGAATGGATATTTTCAGCAGGAAGGAACTCTGAGCTGTTAACATTGGACTGAATCCCCTAGGACCTCACCCTCATCATGACTCTAGACTGTACCAGACAACTCTTTCCTTGTATAAGGATATAAGGGCCTCTTGAGTTTCACAATAAAGTTTTTGATTTACAAGAAGCTAGGCTCTTTAGCTTCACTAGGCAAAGCCTGGCATACATCATTAGTCATCAAGGAAATGTAGATTAAAATCACTATGAGATGTGACTACATACCCTATATAATAGCTAAAATTAAAAAGACTGCCAACATCAGAAACTGAAGAAAATGTAGAGCAAGTGAGTGTAAAACTGTACAACTACATTGGAAAAAGTTCTAGAAGTTTCTTATAAAACTAAACTAAACTTGCCCAGTATTTCCCTCCTAGATATTTGCCCAAGAAAATGAGAACATATGTCCACAAAAAGACCTGTACAAGAATGCTCATATCAGCTGCATTCATATTAACCAAAACTTGGAAATAACCTAGGTGTCCATCAATTGGGAAATGAATAAAATAAATGTGATATATTCGCATAATGGACTACCACTCAGCAATAAAACAGAGCAAACTACTAATACATGCAAAAACATAAGTGAACCTCAAAAACACTATGCTGAGAGGAAGAAACCTTACACAACGGAGTATGTACTACCTAGTTCCATTCACATAAATTTCTAGAAGAGGCAAAAAGTAAGAACAATGGTTACCTAGGATGAGGAAGGAGGGTTTACTGGGAAGGAACAGGGGAAACCTCCTGGAGTGATGGTTATATTCCCTATCTCCTTTGGGTTTGGGTTGCACAAGTTTAAGCATTTCTTGGAATTCATGAAAAAGTACATGAAATATATGCCCATTACATTGGATGTTAACTTTACCTCAAAAGAAAAAAGAATGATCAGCAAATATTGAACTCTTATTGATGACAGGCATGCTAAAGTATTAGGAGGGGAAATGTACTGGTGTCTGCAACTTACTTTCAAATCTATAAAAAATTCAAAAAGATGGATGGACGGTGTATTTGTTCCTTATCTCTCTTGTAAGAAATTTAGTGGTTTAAAACAACACAAATTTATTATCTTACCGGGGATCAGAAGTCTGCAATGAATGTCACTAGGGTAAAATCAAGGTGTGAGTAGGGCTCTGCTTCTTCTGGAGGCTCCAGAAAATAATCCATTCCCTTGTCTTTTCCAGCTTCTAAATGCTGCACACATTCCTTGGCTCATGGCCTCTTCCTTCATTTTCAAAGTCAGAAGCATAGCATCTTCCAGTCTCTGACTTTGCTTCCACTGTCACATTGCCTTCTCTGATTCTTTTAAGGATCCCTATGATTAAAATGAACCCAACTGGGTAATAGGATAATCTTCCCATCTCAAGGTAATTAACAAACTCACATCTGCAAAGTCCCTTTGGCCATGTAAGGTAACATGTTCACAGGTCCCAGGGATTAGGACATGGACATCTTTGAGAGGACCAATATTCTGCCTGGCACAGAGGGATAGAGAAATGGGTAGAAATTTGACAAAACAAGTATAGTAAAATGTTAATTATAAAATCTGAGTGGTAATTACATAAGAGTCCAGCATTAAATCCTGTTAGTTTTTTGTTTGTTAGAAATTTTCCATAATAAAATACTGGAAGAAAAAAACAAAGTTTAAATTCTAACCATGAACAGAGCTTGGCAAGACCTTCCTATGTCCACAGAAGAGGCTAAGAGAGTGAGTGGAACCCAAGAAACCTCGTGGTCAAGATGAGAAGGAAGTAGGCATTGATGCCAGAGTGGGCTGAGTATCAGAGTGAGGCAGGCCACGGCTGTAGAAATCTGACTGAGTGATGTCTGGATGAGGGTGACAAGGGACAGACAGGGTGAGCTAACACCTTACCAAGAGCCAGTAGTTATACTCTGCCCTGACTACTGAAAATGCCTAAATGCACGTAAGCACACCCACCCCACCACCAATTCTGGGGAGAAGAGAAGGAGAGCTAAAACTCTAAATTCATTGTTGATAAGCTTAAAATGACAGAAAAAGACTGAATAACCCAAATGACAGGATTAAATTTTCTCAACCACATGGTACTGGGCCTTGAAATGGAAAGCAATCTTTTTTTAATGGGAAAATAAAATTATAGTCTATGCAAACCTGAGTTTTCAGTCTATAAAATTCCTGTCTGTAACATTCATACTCATTCTATAGATGAAGAATCTGAGGCCCAGAGAGGCAAATTTTCTTGTTTTCAAGTTCAGGGTCATTCCCACTAGAAAGTAGTAAGGAGAGCTGGTGAAAAAGAGCAGAAGGAAGACTGACAGAAGAAAGAGGGAGGGAGGTTTTCTTGACAAAGCAGAAAAACCAACCCGGACTGACTAAGAAAATAGCACTGGGGGAGGTTTTCCAATTTATTTTTTCTCAATGTGAGATTTTATATTTCTTCTGGATATTCAAAAATGATGGCTGCACTAAGTTCTAAATTGCCATTAATAGGAAATTTCCTGAAAAACAGGATTGCCTTATATTAACAGTGACCCAACAGCCTTTCAAATAAATCTTATACTTTTCTAGATACAAGAAAAAATAATACATAGTCAGGGATGATATTCAAAATATGCAACATTCAATATGGCAGGCAAATTCACCCATCAAAACAGACACAACCGTGAACTATCCACATAATTATATAAGTGCAAACCAGCCAAATATCAGCACTGTAGCCAAATTGCTTCACCCTCCATCAGGAGTCAGGTACATAAACTGATTCTTACTTAAACAGTGGGAAAACATTCAAAACAATAAGGTAACGTCTTGCAATAATCTGAGATTAATCACAAGACTTAAGCCATTTAACTTAGTCTTCCATTTCAACACTCTCTTACGCTAATCACAACACGCATAGGCATAGTTAGAAAGGAAAACTTTTGGTAAACTATTTAATGGCATAAAATATCCTTGTTTTAATGCTGTGTTCTACTCAGCACATGATCAGGCATTCGACAAATAGGTGTTCATTAAATACTATTGAATGCATGAACCAAAATACAAATTTGTTTTTATTGCCTCAAATGAATTCATTTAATTCACTAAATACACTCACCTTGAGAAAAACTTCCCATGGCAGCAAGGTTGAATCTTTCATACAGGTCCAAATGTGAGGTAGATAGGAAACACACTTTTTCCTAGAAGGGAATAAATTTAAAATGTAAGAAGATTAAGCTCATTCATGCAGAGAAAGTTGATTAGCCTTCTGAGACTGCTGAAAATCTCTCCAGCATGAAAAAAGAAAACTTAAAAAAATAAAAATAGGAAGTTAGTATACTGGAATATTTTCTGAGATAGAATGTTTAGAAGATAATCTTAGACTTGCAGTCTGGGAAAAAGAACAGCCATGCCATTACTTATAAAGCTAAATAGGATTTTACTGCTTCTGTGTTCAGTGCTTAACAAAACACAACAGTTGCCAAACATGTTAATCCACTACATTAGGTATTAAGCTAATGAAGTTATAAAATCAAAAGACCTTTGTTACTACAATGTCAAGGTCCTGGTCCAGTAGGATAATAAATACCCAGGGGTACCTTAGGTTTCAAAAGAACAGCTTACTCACCTAATATCACCTCCAAACTGTTCTGCTGATGTCTTGAGAGGAGAAAAGAGCAAGAGAGAAATAAAACCTATGGTCCTGCATTATTTCCCCACACTTTTAACACAGTATTGCCCCCCCCCCCCCACCACGCAATATGGGATAGGATTTATACCAACAATATACAATGAAGAGTTTTCATTCACATTTTTTTTAAAGTGGGAAGGAGTCCAGCTTTCGTATAAAACAAGAATCCTGTTCATATGTGGAACACTCAGAAATTTGCTAGTATTTTGAATTTTTTAACACAAGTGAAAATGACCCTGATTGATACAGGGGGAATATTTGAGTTTTGGGGAGATTTTTGTTTTCATTTCCTTCACTTTATTTTCAAAATTTAGACATAAGACATACATACATATTTAAAGACTCAATCAATACCTTGACATTTCCTATCTGAGTTTCCTTTGGTTTTCAATATGTCAGGTTTCAGCTGCTACTCAGCCTTTGGCTCTTTCTGGCAAACACGTCTCAGGAGAACTTGACCAGCTCTTAAAGAGCAAGATATAAAACCGGGATCCAACTAGGGTTCCAACGTCTCCGGAACATGTTGTCCACGGGGTTCAGACACACTTTTAGCACTCTTGCCAGAGGAGGGAGCAAAAAAACAAGCAATCTATCCAAGCTATGGCAAAAGAAGCTCCCCCTAGCCAACAGATATTTGAATCATTTGTATTCTTCTTCAAAAACAGTGTGGTTTTTAAATATGCTTCCTGGACATTAGGGGTTCCATGGAGCTCTTTAGGAGCCACTGCAAGAACAGAAAGGTGAGGGTGCTGCAAAGTGGGGCTCCTGGACCTTCGACTCCGCTCCAGTCAGAGCGTACTTCACTGGAACATAGGAGCTTCATTTAAAAAAAGCAGGGGGAAAAGCACTGGGAGTTAAATAAAAATGAATTTGAAAACTACAGTGTTAGAATAAAAAAGAGACACAGAAAAAAAGAAAGTAAGAATCTTTGATTAAACAGAGTGAAGACTTCCTTAGGTAGTTAGACCAAATAAAGAAGAATTCAGGATGTCCTTCTGAGACATAATAAGGAATATATATTTGGTCTCTGCTCCTATTTCCTGACACAGAGCTCCTAAATCTCTTGGAATTTCCTAGGTGATAGGAGTATCTTCTGTTCTAATGAGTGACTCTTGATGGTCTCCTGAATTGCTTCAAGATGGGGGTTGTCACCAGAAAGACTAAGCCATGATTAGAAGCTTGGAACTTTCAGACCCACCCCACCCCCATCCTCCAGGGAGGGGAGAGGGGTAGGAGATTGAATTAATAATCAGTCATGCCTACATGATGAGACCTCCAAAAAAACCCTAAACTGTGGAGTTCAGAGAGCATCCAGGTTGGTAAACACATCCACGTGCCAGGAGGGTGGTGCATTTCAACTCCACAGGGACAGAAGCTCCTGTGCTCAGGACCCTCCCATGTACCCCTTGATCTGGCTGTTCATCTGTATCCTTTTAATATCCTTTATATTAAACTAGTAAATATAAGTAAGTCTTTCCATGAGTTCTGTGAGCCATTATGGCAAATTATTGAACTTGAGGAGGAAGTTGTGGGAACCCCTGATTTGTAGTCAAGTCAGACAAAATTGCAGGTAACCGAGGGACCCCCTACTTGTGATTTGTGTCAGAAGTAGGGGACGGTCGTGTAGTACTGCACCGTTAACCTACGGGGTCTGACACTAACTCCAGATAGTTAGTGTCAAAATTGATTTAAATTGTAGGACACCCAGTTGGTGTCTGCAGAAACTTGGAAAATTTCTTAGTGTGGAAAAGCTACACATTTGGTGTCGGGAGTGTTGTGAGTAGAGGAACAATTCTCCTTTACCTTCTCTGATAATATTAATATTATCAAACGGTTGAGGCACTGCCTGGCTGAAACTAGATCTTACATCTTAAAATCACTTAAAATGAGACACAGACTTTGACTGGGACTCCTCTATAAGCTATTTGCCACATGGTATTTTTCTTCTGAGAGTAAAGCATTTGGGCTCTGGATTTACCTTTCTGAACTGCTACATAATTCTTTCCACCCTCTGGTGAAATAGAGACTATGATGGGTTAGATTGGGTGCCACAGCTTCTCTTCAGGTAAGCCCATTAGGTGTCGATCAACTGGCCAAGTCAATTCACGAAAGGTTAAGCAGAAGATGCAAGTAATATCTTATTGACCATTTTCTTCCTTAGAAAATAGAGGAAGTCTGAGCAATTGCTTACTAAAGTTTGTCTCATCCACCTCACACTTTCTGTTTTCAATTTAAGTTTTCTAGTTTATGCGTTAGGTAAGGGTTCTAAAATTATTGCATTCAACCTAACCAAAAGCATCTGAGTTTATATTTACGGTGTAAATAGCAATTTAGTAGGGTGATGGTATTTGTTACACGCAAGTAATTTGAATTCAGTCAATCTTCTTTGCAAAATTCAGATTACAGCCGGTATTAAATTCTCCACAAGAAATCAAACAAACAGAAGCAATATGTGCTATGAAATGAAAGAAACCCAAACAAGCTCAGAGGCGGTTTGGCTCTGCCAGGTGATGTTATTGAATTTGGCATTGTAGAAAAGGGTTCAAAGAATACAGCCACAGGACTATTGGATTTCAACAGAGTGAAGTTGGAAGGATTAAGGGATTTAGCCAACAAGACACCGAGGGACAGCCCACAGCCATTCACCAGCACTAGTCCTAAGCGCTATTCCCAGCAAGCTCCAGAGGGCCCCCTGAGTAAAACCCCAGTAGATGGGAATTTCCCTAAAAGAAACATGAATATTTAGGTGGATTCACCAAAGGGGGTGCCATTCAAAGACCTGGGCAGAATATTGTGCTACCTAAAGAGGGAAATAAAGGGGGTAGGAAAGGGGGAGATAGAAGAGTTACAGTAAGGAAACAGGCAAGCAGGCTAGGGCTGAATACATTCTGGAAGCAAGACCAAGGAAAGTGTACACACAGAGGTTCTTACAGATTTACCAGAGAAAGGAGGAGAATGAACACCGGGTGCAGGAGTAGGAAGCCCCCAAAATGTGTAAAATGGTGAGGAAATTATACAAATGAATCAACCATGATAACGGCCTATTAAGGCTTTTCCTGAGTTTTCTATGTTCTATTCCTACTGGTATCCCTTGGTTCCTGAATATGACAAAGTTTTTCAGCTTCTGGCTAAGCCTCCACTGTTTTCTCTGCCTACAGACTTCTCCCATTTCCGCCTGGGAGACTAGCTAATATACTCTCATTGGCTGGATTTCAGTTTAGATCATTTCCTCCAGAAAGCATTTCCTGATCCCCTAGCCTACATTAATCTGTTACAGGTTCCAACAACATTTTTGTTTCTTGAGACATTTAATGCACTTGTAATTAATCATTCCACAGCTGAGTTCCCTAAAAGAAAATCTATGAGAGCAAGGACCATATCTACCTTATTGACCATGAAGTCCTTAGGACCTAGAAATTTCCTGGAATGGTGTTTAATATTTTCTGGATGAATATAAAGGAGAATCCATTTGAGAATTGTAGCATACTCCAGTATGTAGTAGCCAAGCTCACAGCAATGTCATAGTAGTCCTGTCTCCACTACTCATTCCTTCACCCCTACTTCACTCTAACACATGGTTTAATTAAGAACTTCATGACCCACCTTTGGCAGACACTGTAAGTTGGCTCACATATTACCTATTTCCAATGCTCTTTTCCTTTCCCTTGCTTTCGATATTAGTCAGGATAGGTAAATTATGCTGTGATAACAAATAACCCCAAATTTCAATGATTTAAATAAAAAAGCTTTATTTCCCACCTGTGCAAGTCCACAACAGGGCTAGGCAATTCTCCAGGGCAGCTGGCCTCCATGCCAGGGCTCAGTGATCCAGGCTGCTTTGGTCTTGTGACAACCACATAGTAACATGTGTTTCTGTGCTTGCTGTGATGTGGAAGGGAGCACAGAGACTCACACAATGGCTCTTGAATGCTTTGGCCTGAAAGTGACACATGTATGTGTCGTGTTAGGAAAAACTACCCACATGACCACACTTCATGGGGTAGGGAAGTGTTCCTGGAAGTGGAGGAGACCTGGATAATAGTAGACACTGGCAATGTCTACAACATCTTCTACCTAGAGGCTGGAAAGCCAAATACTTATTTCTCAACCTCCCTTGCAGCTAAGTATAGCCATGTGACACAGAGGAAAATTTTTTCTTTACCAATTCACTTTCAAAAGTTCCTGGAGGACTCTGTCTAACCTGATTTGGGTCAAGTGCCCATGCCTGAATCAATTACTATAGTCCTTCAGTTGGTCAGCTTGAATCAGGTGTAACATCATTTCAGCTTCAAGTAACAGAAAAACTATTATTGACTTAAACAAATTTAGGAATGAATCGTTAAAACACTTTCCCTGGCACCTGAGAGCTACTGCGTCAACCCTAGGAGTTGCCTATATCTGTGGTTCTTGTCATATGAGACAAATAAGCCTCTAAATATGTTTAAGCCAATTCTTCTGTGTGGAAAGTTGGGAAGAGATGAGCCCAGGATTTAACAGCTGCTGCAGAGCCAGTTTCATTGAGATAACCAGCCTGAAAGAAAGAAAAAAGCCCACAGAGAGAAGCAAAGACTAATGATGGAGAGAAAAAAAGAGAGAAAGAGACCTGAGAGCTTTCAAGCTCAGGATTCTAAAGGATATTGTACAGTACATTACACCCTTCAAATCCCTTTCCTAGCCGTTGTCTGATTTCAAACAATAATCCCAATGAGACAGGCAGGGCAGATATTATTAGCAGATGGTATAGCAGCCTGGAAACATGAAGGCTAGTACCAGATTTGTCACCCATTTGTTGTTCAGGGTTAAGCATGTCTGTAAAATAAGGAGTTCGAACTAGTCTGGCATGATAAATATGAACTCAGCCTTTGACCTCAGAAACATTTAAAGCCCAGCTCATCCATTCATAGGCTGTATAACTTCTGATAAATTTAATTAACCTACCTAAGTTTCCATTATTTTATCTGAAAAATTGGGATGATAACATCTTCTTTACTTTGTTGTAACAATTGAAATAATTACAGACAAAGCTTCTACCACAATGCTTGACCCACAGGAGATCCTCAATAAACATTATTTACCTGTCATTACATTTTTCTTCTCCCAAGATTCCCTTTAAACCATGAAGATATATTCCCATTTTACAAATGAGTTTACTGAGTCAATGATGGGCCAAGGTCTTGCTCAGGTCAATCTAGCTGGCCAGGGTTTAAAATGGGACCCAGTTCTCAAATGGAATCAGAATCTATGTTTCCAGGCCAACAGTCTGGTGTTGTTTCCATGATGCCCAGATCTCCACAATCTCTTCCATTCATCTAGCATTTATCAAGCATGAACTACGCAAAAGCAGATTGCTGACTATCCCTTAAGCCACCATGCTCCTCTCATGCCATATCTCCCTCCAGAAACAGGATGTTCATAGCATCATATAACTTGAGAATTGAAAGAGATCTTAAGGGTAATTTACTTTAACTTCCTACTGAGGACTGGAATTCCCTTTATAGCATCCCTTATTTGTGGCATCTAGCTTCTGTTAGGACATTCCAGCACAGATGATGAAAATGCTGTGGTTCTGGTGACATGGTCTTAGAAGTCACTCCTCTTTTGGTTGCCGGTATCAGAAATTTAACTCAAACTACCTATGCCAGAAAGAATATATTTCCTCATATGTTAATTTCTGGATTTAGACCAGGCTTCAGGCATTTCCTGATCAAGTGGTTTGACCGCTGCCATTAGGATGATCTCATTCTCTCTGTTTCTTGGTCCTATCCCTGAACCAGTCACAATATCACAGGAGTGCAAAACTCTGACTTGCCAAGCCCAAGAGTCATATTCAATCCTGTTGTCAGGGGTAGGGTCAGTGCCCCTAAACTGTAAGATCTGAGGGTGAGAAAGGGGCAGCTCCCCAGGAGAAATCAAGATAATACCACCAAGAAGAGGGAGAAATGGAAACTGAGCAGGCAAAAACAACAAATTCCACCACAGTGCTATCTTATTCCATATCCTGAGTCAGGAAAGGGACTTAAGGACTTCTTTCCTAAAACTTTGAAGGTTAAAATAAAGCCAACAGTTGGAACATGCCCTGCATTATATTTCTCAGGAATTCTTTGGTTGCAAGTAACAAAATAACCAACAAATACTGGCTTGAATAATGTAAGGTTCGTTTTTCTTACAGAGAAGGTGAGTGATTTTTGGTCCTGATTCAGAAGCTTAACAGTGGCAGGTTTCTGGGTTGGTGACTTTGAGGTTCTCCTCATGTTTCCCCATGGCAACAGAGTGGTCACACCAACTTGAGTCACATGTCCTCAAAGGCAGGAAGCAGCAGGCAGTGTAGAGCAATTTGTATACTTCTTTCTGATCTAGAAGAGAAATCTCTTGCCCAGAAACCTTCAGAAAACTTCTCTTTCCCTCTCCTTGGCCAGAAGTGGGTCACATGGCCACGTCCAGCAGCAGAGGATGTTGGTATCTGCTTTTCCAGGCTCCAGAGTGGGAGGCAGGCAAAAGGGGGTCACGGTTTTGAGTATCAACATCGTCTATGATACATGTGTTAGCAAATGTGGTTTTGATCTTTCTTCTTTCCCCTCAACCAAATAAGGCAACATGACCTATTAGATCTGAAAAGAATAGGTCTTGACCCCATAATCCCAGGATCTCCATAATATTCCAAAAGAGTAATTAGACCTTTTCAAAATAGCAATTGAATTGCAAACTCTACAAAAAGAGAAATCAAAGTTCATGTTTATATTCCATAGACACCAGCACAGTGCCCAGCAAATTGCAGACAATAAATATTTTCAACTAGACCAAAATGTCCTGCTCAGAGGTAGTCATTTTTCTATTAATAGTCAATATTAACCACAGACCAAAATTTCTCTAGTTGCTCTTCTAGGGCTTTCCCTTTTAGAAGTAGCTGGTATTAGTTCACACATAGCGAACCATTTTGCTGGATTTTTGTATGTTGTTTTGCTTGCTGTTTCTCTATTCACCAATAAAGTGGTCTGTAAGCAGAGCAAATTTCATTAGCCACATAGTCTAATCCAGTGGTTCCCAAACTTACCTTTTAGATACAGATTCCAACTCATCAGCCTCAGAATGTCTGATTCCATGGGTCCCAGGGCGGGGGGGGGGGGGGGGGGGGGGGGGGAGGGGTGGCAACTGCCTTTTTTAAAATCTTCTGATTTCAGCTGAGTTTGGAACTACTGGTCAAACCGACCAAACTAATCAGCTCAAATAGACTAAAAAGGTCTATTTTCATTCACACTTTGCAGTCTATAGGCATCCTGCTGTCAAATGGTTGCCCAGCAACCCAGTGACTACTTTAACTATTGAGAGACCTCAAACAATTGAAACCCATCTAAAAAGATAGGGAATGTCTTATTAATGGGGCCTTCTTGAGAAGGTAATTTTATTGCCTGCCATGTTGACAATAAAATTTGCCAAGTTCTGTGTCTTCCCAGAAACCAGTCCAAAGACAATTCACAAACCAAAGTCATCAACTGCTTCTGCCTCCCCAGCAGGAGTCTCACTCCCACTCCCTATAGACACATGACCCGTATCAATGATGAACACTGAAACATCACCTTGCCTAGATTTATGCTCAGTCAGATACATGAAGATTCCTCTTTGTTCCTATCCACTTAGATTTAATGTTTTGCCCAATTTCCCTAGTTCAGTGGTCTGCAAAACCTCTGAGATTATCCCTCCCTCATAACTCTTTACTACTCCACCTTAAATTGGAGGCCTCATGACCCAAGATGTCAAAGCAAGCCCAGGATCAAATTCTCATTCATTTATCCAACCAACAGAAAGAATAATCTGCCTCAGGGTGCATTCTTTTCTCCATATTCCCAATAAACACAGTAATGTACAGCAAGAAAAGCAAGTGTTTATTACAACCTATTTCTAAATCCCTGAGCATTAAGACTTAACATTTCTTGCCTTGTCCATTTAAATTAGGTTTTTTTAATCAAAGCATAATTGTCTATATATAACATCTATCTCACTGAAAAGTCAGTATGTGACTCTATCTTTCTATGAAACACACAAGCAAGTGATCTATAAAGAGGAGACTTGACCCAAGCAAGACAGGCAGGTCCCCACGTTTTCAGGGCAATAGCCAGTATTTTCGGTCCTTGTTAATTTCTCTTGAAGAGGGAACAAAAGGCAGATTGATTTCCCCACAGAACAAGCGGTAGGCCTCCACCAGGGGCCTCCAATCCTGGGAGAAGGAGATTGTCAACGAGGAGGTAAATTCTGGCTCCTGACTGCTCTGATAACTTGTCCTCCCTTTCTCCTTCCCTTCCTGCCACTTTCAGTTAACTGGAACGTCAAAAGAATAATAATTCAGCAACACAGCATGGTTAATAAAATCTAATGTAAATGCGCATCAGTCTCAGAGCAAGGAAACAATCTCCCCACTGTATTTAATATTCCTCATATCCTTCTGGAGATGTTACACTTCCCTTTGGGCTACTTGTTGAAAGAATAAAAATCTAGAGATAAGTGAGTGTAACAATTAGAGTTCAGGATCTAATAAGGAAAACAAGATAATGTTCCACGGTTTGGGGAAGCTGGGAAGTTGCGGGGGGTGGGGTGACAAAATAACACTTTCTAAATGTGTGAAAAGCTACGAAAGCGATATAAACTGAGTATGAGCAGACGGAAATAAGCTAAATTATAATAAGAGATGTGGCAATTGGACATTGGGAAAAATATTTTAATATTAATTGATGCTAGTTATTGAGTACAGTCATCATTATCTGAGAAAACAGGCTCAAAGACTTGCCTGAGTTCTCACAGGTAAGCACACGGTAAAGTCAGGGTTTGAGCCCAGGTCTGGCAGACTCCAATGTGCAGACCTTGTACATTATTTCTCCATGGAGGGCTGGGTGGGTTTGCAGAGAGACATGGAAAGAAACTGACACTATGACTTTATTTTAATACCTGCCCTCCTCTAATCAGAATGGCTATGGCTTTGCCACTATTTATAAAAAAAACTCTAAGCTAGAATATGTAGGCCTGCTATGGCCAAGCAATGGGAAAGTGTGATAGAGTGTATTACTGTGGAAAAACATTTGCTTCTGCCCCTGGAGTCTACTTCCCTGTGAGAAGATTATACATCTCACTCTATTGACATTAGGTTTGGTCATGTGACTTGTGTTGCCCCTTCTCGCAGGAGGTTTGTACATCCCCACTCTGCTGAACTCAGGAGTATCAATGTGACTTTCTTTGGCCAGTGAAATGTGGGCAAAAGTAATGAGTGTCAATTCCAAGTAAGAACTTTTAGAGACAGTTCACGTTCACCATGTCTCATTTCCTGCTGCCACAGGCTGTAATGACCCAAATAGAAGCTGCTCTGTCAGCCTGAGCATAGGAGTGAGGGCATCATCAAGTGGAATCATAGCCAACCCATGATGGACATTCAGTGTGAGCATGAAGTAAACCTCTGTTGTTGTAACCGCTAAGATTTCAGGGTCATTTGTTACTGCAGCATAGCTTAGTGTAATCTGACTGATAAGAAAAAGTGACTCTGATCTTTGCATTCCAAGACTTCTGAAGACCAGAGTGTATGGGGTTAATACAGGATGGGTGGCTATTTCATCATGACTTCTTCATCCAAACCCTTTGATCTAAACCACTTAATCCAAACCCCTTCCTCCCAGTCCCACAAATTGGGTCAAAAGTGAAAAATGTAATTTTTTAATCCACATGCGGACTGTCTCCATAGGTTCTGGTAAAAAAAAAAAAAAAAAAAACAATGAAAGCACTGCCTAGAATTGGAGATAGTCTTTAAGAGCAATCTCTTCGTAATCAATCAAGCATGGATTCTAATCCACTGGTCATCACATGTGAGATTTTGGGCATATCATTTCCTGTTACTTCAAACATGGTTTGCTTATTGGTAAAACAAGGACAATAACAGTATTGTGGGGAGTATGGACTCAGAGGGGTATTGTAGCAACACCACCAATCATCAGGGAAATGCAAACCAAAACCATAACATATCACTTCATGCCTGTTAAGATGTCTATTATCAAAAGACAAGAGATAACAAGGATTGGTGAGGTTGCAGAGAAAAGGGAACCCTTATTCACTGTTGGTGGGAATGTAAATTGGTCCAGCCACTATGGAAAACAGTATGAGGTTCCTCAAAAAGTTAAAAATAGAACTACCATGTGATCCAGTGATTTCACTTCCAGTTTTATATGCAAAGGAAACTATCTCAAAGAGATATCTGCACCCCCATGTTCATTGCAAAATTATATACAAAAGCCAAGACATGGAAACAAAGTAAGTGTCCATCAATGGATGAATGGATAAAGAAAATATATTTACAATGGAATATTATTCGGTCATTAAAAAGAAGGAAATCCTGCCATTTTCAACAACATGGATGGACCTTGAGGGCATTATGCTAAGTTAAATAAGTCAGATAGAAAAAAACAAATAGTGTATGATCTCAAATATGTGGTATCTAAAAAGAGCAAACTGAACTCATAGAAACAGAACAGACTGGTGGTTGCCATTGGCAGGGGATGGGGGTGGGAAAAATGGCTGAAGGAAGGGGGTCAAAAGACATAAACTTTACTTCTAAGATAAACAAATTCTGAGGATGTACTGTACAGCATAACTATAGTTAACAATACTGTATTGTATATTTGAAAGTTGCTAAGAGAGTACTATAGATCTTTAAAGTTCTCATTATAAGAAAAGCAATTTTGTAACGGTGAGGTGATGGATGTTAAGTAAATGTATTGTGGTAATCATTTCACAATATATCAAATCATTATGTTGTACACTTCAAACTTATACAATGTTATATGTCAATTATGTCTCAATAAAACTAGAAAAAATAAACAAAAGCTCTAAAGTGAAAAGAATAAAAGATGGATACTGTGGGGATAAAATGGGACAAAGCACGTAAAAGCCCTCAACAAATGCTAGTTACTTTTATGAACAGAGGCACAGGAGGGATAAAAGGATAAATCACAGTCTAATAGGGATGACAAGATAAATCATAAATAATAATAAAGGCAAAATGTTGTAAAGGCTTTAAGAGTGCCACAGATAAAGTGCTAGAGGAGAAAAGAGAAAACAAGTATAGCTCTAAAGAAAGGGGAGAGAAATCAGAGAAGACTTCATGAAAGAGGTGGCATTTGATTTGGGCCACTTATATTATTCAAAACCCTTTATATAGGGATCTATACTCTAAATTTTTCCTAGATTTAGCCGCAAGAAAATTTTTCTCTTTCCTGAAAATTTACAGTCCTTCTCTTCAACAGACATTGAACTGTGACCTGTTGTGCTTCCTTCTTTGCTTTTGAATATTAGAAAGATCTGGACAAATGTAATGTTTGATTTGGGGCATCATCTTAGACTTTGTTCTCCCCTCTCTTCCTTATGGCTTCTGATTTTGCTCTTGATCGTTTTTCACTACATGTTGTAAACCTAACGCTTTATCTTTATCATAAGCTGCCTCAGTCCATTCTTGCGCATTGGTAGTGTATATGTTTTAAATAAATAAAATATATTTCTCATCTTCCTTCTAGTCTTTTTTTAGTCTTTTATTTTGGTAACTTGTTCAAGGATAGAGAAAGAGATTATTCATTCTTTTATGGTTTACACAGGACTTGATAGAATGGGCAGTACGAATGATCAAGTCAGATTGGTACCCTATACTGTGGGGTTAGTAATTAAAGTACTAAGTGATGATTTTCAGGTTAAAGTCAATTAGCATCATTTCTCACTTAGTGAAAAAGAAAATCAGCACAACGAAAAGGCAGGTCACCATTACTCAGCTGAACGGGCAGTTTTAAGTTAAATGGCACGTTTTTAGGTTGGGGGAGGTACCAGTAGGATTACCACCTTACTTCTTTAAAAGAAAAGAAAACTTTTTTCAAGTTAAACCCGGGGAGTGATCTCTCATATTCCAAGTACAAAACAACTTGATCCTTTTCAATAAGAGAAACCCCAGCTCTTTTTTCTGCAGAA